CCAAATTAATAATAATAGAGATAAGCAGGAGACAACGTGTGATTTTACTCGAGGGGAATTTGAAATTAAATGGAATTGGTTGCAAAACCTAATTCCACACCTCCGGTGTGGGAATATTTTGGATTTAAGATAAAATCAACGAGGCGAACCTATGAACTTGAATGAGCCGGGCGGTGTGTCGTATTTGTTTTAAAAAGGTATCAACAAAAGCTAGCAATACGACCAACCTTAAACTGCATCTGAAACATAACCACCCCATTCCGTTTTCCCAGCTGGGAGCAAACACGGCAGCTGGAGATGGAGAGCCCCCACTTCCCGACAGTTTACAATCAAATATGCATTTGCCCGACAATGCAAACATGTTGGTGTTCCTTGCTCGAAAACTTTGAAATACAGATTTGGATATGGCCTGTTGAGGCATCTGGGCCTTTGTATGGACAGTAGTGTTGTCACGATACCAACATTTTGGTTTCGATACCGATACCAAGTCAAGAATTGCTATTCCGATTCTTTTTCGATACTTTTCTTAAAAAAAGGGAACAGTCTTAAATGTAATTATTGTGCTTTATTTCACACCATAACCATAACACAAACTTTTAAACAATGAAAACAATAAACAAAATAAATGACAAGAATTCGTATTTAATAAAATTAAGTATCATCTCAAACAACTTTTTTGTTTTATAAAATATAATTTTTTTAATATTTTATTAACATGTACATGTCATGTAACAGTAATATAAATAATTATTGACTAAATGTATATTGCAGATGTTAGCCACATTGGTAAATTAGCTAAAAAGATAGCCATATTAGACAGTTATCATTGCCATTAATTGCCTCGTCAAACTACGAAAACGTTCGTTTGTCACAAAATAAACTACACTTGTTTGACTTAGATTTGAGGGCATGGGCTTGAGCATGATGTAATTAAGCAATCATACACGAGAGGCCGTTCTTGAACCAGTACAGGCGTACGGACCTCAGCGCAAGCGCCTCGGTCCTGCCGCAGTACTGTCGTACCAATAATGACGTTCAAGAACGGTCTCAAGTGTATGATTGCGATTCTATTACACAAACTATCATTGTAATCAACAATATCATAAAAATT